AAGTAACTAAATTAGTAGACCAGCAAACACTGTGGACCTAGTATATTTAGACTTCAGTAAGGCATTCGGCAAAGTAGACCACAACCTGCTGCTTAGTAAGCTAGAAAAAAGTGGGATAGACAACAACACCATCAGATAGATCTGTAGCTGGCTGACAAATCATACTCAGCAAGTAGTCCTCATTGGTACTACATCCACATGAAGAGAAGTAATCAGTAGGGTACCATAAAGCTCCATCTCATCAGATTTGCAAATGACACCAAACTGGCAGGAATAGCCAACACTCCAGAAGACAAGCTCAGGATCCAAAAAGATCTTGACAAACTTGAGCAATGGGCCCTATTCAACAAAATGAGTTTTAATGTGGAGAAAAGCAAAGTTTTACATTCAGGCAGGGAAAGTCAAAGGTCTAAGTATAGATTAGGTGAGACCTGGCTCAAAAACAGCAACTGTGAGAGGGACCTTGGAGTCCTAGTGGAAGATCACTTGACTATGAGCCAGCAGTGTGCAGCAGCAGCCAAAAAAGCTAATACAATCCTGGGTTGCATAAACAGAGGCATAGAATCAAGATCAAGCGAAGTATTAGTACTGCTTTATAAAACCCTAATAAGACCACACCTGGAATACTGCAACCGATTTTCATCACCATACTACAAAAAAAGATGTTGAGACCTTGGAGAGAGTTCAGAGAAGAGCAACTAAAATGATCAAAGGCCTGGAGACTAAAACATACAAAGAACGGCTGCAGGACGTGGGTTTGGCTAGTCTAAAGAAAAGAAGAAATAGGGGTGACATGATAGCAGTATTCCAGTATTTGAGGGGCTGCCACAGAGAAGAGGGGGTCAAACTATTCTCCAAAGCACCAGAGGGCAAGACAAGCAACAATGGTTGGAAACTGATCAAAGAGAGAAGCAACCTGGAATTAAGGAGAAACTTCCTGACAGTGAGGACAATTAACCAGTTGAATAGCTTGCCTTCAGAAATCGTGGGTGCTCCATCACTGGAGGTTTTTAAGAAGAGACTGGACAGTCATTTGTCTGAGATGGTATAGGTTCTCCTGCTTGAGCAGGGGGCTGGACTAGAAGACTTCCAAGGTCCCTTCCAGCTCTATTCTATTCTACTATTCTATTTTATCTTTTGACTCATGGAAAAAGTCTGTTTTGCATATTTTTTAACCAGAATTGCTCCTATAACATTGACTACAGTATTATAGTCCGGTAAATGATTATGTGTTTCAGGTGTGCATGGACTATAATAAGAATTCTCACTTTTGTTTAGGTGTCACCATTTGGGAGCTTATGACCTTTGGTGGAAAGCCTTATGATGGGATTCCAACAAGAGAGATTCCTGACTTGTTAGAGAAAGGAGAGCGGTTACCACAGCCTCCTATCTGTACCATTGATGTTTACATGGTAATGGTGAAATGTGAGTAGCTTTAATTTGATTCTAGCTTTTTGGATGGGTGAGTTTTACTGAAAAGTTTTCCCTTGCAGCTGGCTGTCACAAATCCTTTGTAGTAATACATGCCATTTTGAAGCATCATAAAACAGTTATGTAAATTATATTCAAATAGTATACATTAACATCTTGAAGTTGATAAGGAGATGAATCTGACTGAAGGGTCTTGCATTAGTTGGATCCTTATTGTTAGTAGATAAAACACAGTATTGCCATACATCAAATCCATTGCACTCAAATGACCGCCCTTTCTATGACAACTGATTTATTAGAGGATAACATTTCATGCTTTTTCTAGAATCATATATGAAAATCTGTAAAGAGATTAACATTTTTCCAAATTTCAATATAAAAAATAGAATGAAACAAAATCAGTTTGGGGGTGTAGTTTTCCTTTGTACAAGCCATTTATAGAAGTTGATATGTCATGTTAACTAGAGTGCATCTCTATGAGAACATTAGAATCAAGGAGAATCCAGAGACAAATTATTTTGTTTATGTTTGCATCTGGATTCTCACCTGGCACATCCCCCTCCCCAACTGTTCAAGTGCTAGAAGATGTAAATCCTGGAGCTCCAGTTTTAATTTTAAAAGAATTAAGAAATACTCTGTGGTATTTCTGGTTTAATTTAAATGAGATTAACAACAGCCATTTCTTCCATGTGGCTTGCTGCTCACATATACAGGTGAAAACATTATTATAAGATACAAAGAAGATGATCCCACTAATGGTTTGAGTTGAGTGGCAGCAGCAGGGCACAGCAATTGGATAAAAAGCATCAACTTTATACTGGCTAAGTGGAAGAAGGAGAAGGAAAAGGAGAAGAAAAAGAAGAATTCCTGCTTCTGGTATTATATGCCAGATGATAATCAAGCCTTTAGCACAAGAAAGTTATAAAAAAAGCAAAACCATAACTGATATCAACCCAAATGTCAAAAATTAACAGTGCAGGAAATGAGGAAGAAGTAAAAGCATCCAAAATTAATGTGAGATATTTTGGCCTTGAGCAGTTAAAATCATGGTCAATGTAGAGGCTGTAAACTGGGTTTATTAACTGTGATAAATGTTAGTTTAGTTTGGGTTCTCTTAAGAAGCAATTAATAGCTCATCTTTTGTTCTTGTATCTGCTTTTCTCAAAGTAGATGTAAATACAAGAAATTTAAATACAAGCCTCACAAAAGTTACTATTTGTCCATAGAAAACTTTTATTTAATATATTGGTTGAAGTAATTTCAGTGGGCAAGTAAAAGTTTTTATTGATTCTTCTGATAAAAACTTCAGCTGACAAAGATTTAGATCAAGTCTGAATTATTCATGTCAGACAAACTAAACCAGAATTTCACACTTTGCACTGGAAATTAAAAATTTATTTGAGTCTAAGGTTTTTATTGTAAGTTGCTTTAGAAATATACAAATAAATATATTGTTTTATTGATATAGCAAAAGTACTGATTTTGAAAATAAATTATTAGGCCTTGTCATCACCATTGTTGCATTATTCTTTTTTCCTCAGTTTCCTTAATAAAGTTATCTTAATAATTTTTGATTCATTTAAAATAAGAGAGGCACACTGATATATTATGAGCAATGGGAAAAGTGCTCATGATGATTTATTCATCCCTCTTTTGGTGGAATTAATTGCATGATCATGGTTGGGGAAGTATGAATCTATATGGAGTGGATCCATATTTCTTCCTATGAATTTTTATACTGCACTGACTGATCCTATAATATCTGAGAACATTGATATATTTGTATATTAGAGGCAATTTCACAAGTTGCTGGGGCAATGGTGCGCGTGCCCACAGAGAGGGCTCCGAGTGCCGCCTCTGGCACGCGTGCCATAGGTTCGCCACCACTGGGCTAGGGCCTCTTGCTGAGCAGAATCTACCTGTTTAAAAATACTTTGTGTCCTTTGACTTACAGAAGAGAAGTAGAGCAAAGTAACCATTTCTTACAAGCTTCATAAGAGAAAGGAAAAAGAAACTTTCTTTGCATGGCAAATGCTTCCCTAGCAGCATAAACAGCAACCAGGTTGAATATGCAGTGACATAAGAGCTGTGGTGGCATGGTGGTTAGAATGCAGTACTGCATGCTACTTCTGCTGACTGCCAGCTACCAGCAATTTGGCAGTTCGAGTCTCACCGGCTCAAGGTTGACTCAGCCTTCCATCTTTTCGAGCTAGGTAAAATGAGGACCCAGATTGTTGGGGGCAATAGGCTGAGTCTGTAAATCACTTAGAGAGGGCTGTAAACACTGTAAAGTGATATATAAGTCTAATTGCTATTGCTATATTCAACATTAACAGATAAACAAATATTAATGATGGCAGGGGTGAAATTCAGTTAAAAAAACACTCATGGATATTCATGTTGTCATATTTAACAGCCACATTTATGCTTTTGAAAAAGGTTTATTTTTAAAGATATTTGTTCCTTGGAATATAAAGAAGATTCTAAAAGATTTATCCTGGTTGGGAATATTAGAGACAACCAAAATCTACATAGCAGCTGGAACTGAACATCCAATTGTCAGACTCAAACTGGGATTCAGAAGTTGGAAGATGGACATTACAGCTCTCAGCCACAAGCAGAGAGAGAAATAACTAAAATGCTTTACAGAACAGATAACTCATGCAATCACAAACTTCAGGGCCATGGTGATAATGTGTAAAGCACAATGAACAATAAAAAAGAAAAAAAAACATATGCAAAAAAAACACATATTAATTGTAACTCATACCAATGTTTATTGCAAGTCAGGTCCTACTGTATGTGTTTAGTTTCAGAAAGAGGTTTAAAAAATAAGATAGTTGACTTGCAGAGTATGATTAAAAAAATAATGTTTAAAATAGAAATTTGAGGACATGATCAGTTTGAGGAATTTTAGAAATAACTGCTTAGTTTCCAATGGCCTCCTCATAATTACTATTTTAATTAACCATTTATGAAAAAAGGAAGTCCTCTAACAAAAGCATTTTTTCTCTCTTTTTGCTCATGGCCATAGGTTGGATGATTGATGCTGATAGTCGGCCCAAGTTCAAGGAGCTGGCTGCTGAATTTTCTAGAATGGCTCGGGATCCTCAAAGATATTTGGTCATTCAAGTAAGTGGCCTAAATTCATCTTCTTTTCTTTCTCCTCCTGCTTCTTCCTGGCTGATAATGGCTATTTACAAGCAACCATTTTCTCAGCAGTTTTTGTTTATTTAAACTTGAATTTTTGAAATGCCTGTGCATTTTCAGAACAGTCTCCACCACTGTTTTGAGTTTTGAGAGTAGTTGAAGTGTTCGCAAGTTGCTGAAAACAGATAAATTGGGGCATATGTTACTTCTGTTCTATTTAGTAGAAAATGAAATATGCCATTTTGTGTTGAAAGCCCGTGGCAAAAAATCACCTCGGTAGTTCTGCTAATCACAATGCTTTCAAAATGTCCTCTATATACTTAGAATATATTTGTATCTCAAATCATGGCACCTGAATATGCTCACAGCTTTGTGAAGGTGGTCCAGAGAAGAGGCTGGTCAATGCAAACATTACATGTGTATTTGCCTCACCAAAGTTAGCTACACTAAGGTTAGCTACAAATATGCATTAGATCAGCAAACCTCTTTTTTCCCTGCCTCAGCTAAAGAGCTAGCTATGGTGGGTTATTTTTTTTCCTGTGCTATTTTTGTGTTTATATTATCATTAGGCAGAACAACAAAGATTGCCCCAAATTGCAGTAAGATGAAATATTTTAATTCTCACCCAGTTTCTCTTTGTGCATCCATTATTAGTTTTGAGCTTAAAACAGGGCTGTTTCAACTTGGAATACTTTGAGGATGGTTGGAACCGCCACACAATGCTTCTAGCAAGATGAAAACACTTGTTTCTATCTCAAGATGTTCTGGATGTGCTATATTTGTACTCATCTCATCATTAGCATATGACCATATTTTTCTTAAATATATCAGATTCTTCTATAAGCATGAGCAGCAGCAATACAATGGATACTTTTTATTAATAGGAAGCTAGCCATTAAAATATAAATATAGTTCTGTTCAGCAAAAGCTTTTTAACTTTGAAAATAATGTGCATTAAAATAAAAAAAATTCTTTCCTCTTTTAGAGGCTCTTCTGGTCAATGCTAGTACAGATTAGCTAAAATGCAAAGCCTGAATATCAGTACATTAAATTGTTAAAATACATCAAGAATGGTGGACAGCTTGAACACCTTCAATTTCGCACTCAAATAATATATTCTACACATTTCTCAAAGTTAGCATTTCTGTTCCAGCACCTAAAAAGATAAAAAGTGAGGCCTGGGAGCAAGGCAATATCAGTGTGACAGATAAAGACAGTTTCAACAATCCGAGGACTCCCAAAGGAACACAGAAAAGAAAGTTAAGACAGTCAAAAGCCCCATGCTGGAACAATAGGTTTCCAACTTTGCAAACAAAAAAAAAAGTTATTTTATTCAGGTGAGAAATCAGATTAACTTTTACCTATTAGAATTATATTCCTTTAAACCAAGAAGCCACAATGAAGAAGCTGCCCTAGATGACATCTAATTATTTCCCATTTAGCTCAGAATAGTAAACTGAATGGAAGCGTCCCTCAAAGATTTCAGACAAAGATTTTCTCCAGTGTCTATTAGGAGTTTTCACTGGAGATGCTAGAGACTTAATCTGCAAGGCAGGTTTGCCACTATAGAGCAAGGATGCTTACTTTTCCCTTCCCACAAATAGACTTCTGCAAGCCGCTAAACCTGAGTTCTCTTGATATTGAAAACAAATCTGCATTATGAGGCTGTTACAAGCTTTGTTTCTTTACAGCTAGGCATAAAATTAACATTGCAACAGTTGTATTTTATGAAAGTAGTAACATCTTAACATCTCTTTACCCTTCTCCATAATACTTTTATTACTAAACCAGTTTAAATACAAGGTTTTGATTTGGCAATGACATAATCCTAATATTTAGAAAAGAATACTACTGAAGAATTTTTTAAAAAAATGATTTTATTTTTTGTGGAAAGAACAAGGGTATTCAATAAGGAGAAATATGAAATAATATAATATAGCTAGATCCATAGAATCACAGAGTCACAAGGATGAAAGAGACCTCACAGGTCTTCTAGTCCAATTGTCTCCTCATGACAGGAGCCTTATACCATCCCAGTCAAATAGTTGTCCAGTCTAAAATCTCCAGTGATAGCTAATAATATTGATTTCTGTCCACCAAACAGATAGATTGTTGATTTGATCAGAATAATCATTTTAATTTTTCTATCAATGTGACATGGTACAGGGGGATGACCGCATGAAGCTACCTAGCCCAAATGACAGCAAATTTTTCCAGAATCTGCTGGATGAGGGAGACCTGGAAGACATGATGGATGCTGAAGAATATCTTGTCCCTCAGGCATTTAATATTCCTCCACCCGTCTATACTTCAAGGACAAGAATTGACTCCAACAGGGTAAGAAGATTCTGGCTAAATATGAAACATATTTAGAGTTGTTCCTCTGGAGAGAAAACACATACTAAAACATATTAAACATGAACTGTTATTCATTGCAAGGCTGAAAGAGTACAAGTAAAATGCACTCCAAGCTCAGTCTTTACAATCACTATTCTTTGGCATACGGCTTCCTTGGGCTAACTGAAGTGTAGACTTGTTTGTGCTAATGAATATAAATATTAAATGGACCTGTTGCAATTGATGGGATTACCATGAATGGAAAATAAATTGAAGCAGCTTAAGCTGTTTATACTCATTGTTATTGGGAAATTAAATTTTATAGTAAAGTTTTCATGCTCTTATATAGAATCTATAGTTATGAAATCTTTTCTTTGAGTTTAATGAAAAAGTGACTTGTCTTATTAAATTGTACATTTATTTGAATATTTATACAATGAATTAAAGAAAATAATTCCTTCTTTGTACTAATTTCAGGGGTTTTGATCCCCTCATATAAGATATTTCAGTGGAGAATTTTCTCATGAAGATTTTTAGCTTTCTTGCAAAGTTAGGTAGGGTGATGCTCATGGAATAATATGTTTCTTGACCTTATATATAATATGTTCCTTGTCCTTTACAGTTACGCCTGTGCATATTTTTTTAAAAGTCAAATTCTATTCTTTGGTTATGAAGTAAAAAATGAGCTGTCAGAAAGATCTGATATAAACTACTCTACTGTTGCCAGAAATTGTTTATCATTGTTTATCATTTCAATTGTTTTATGTCTGTGGCAAATCCCACTTTTAAGCTCCATTTTCTACTTAAAGGGATCTGGGGTACCTCTTCATAGGACTGGTGTTCTGGAGACTGCAGTGGAGTGTGTGTGCTTACACCCGCACAGGGGATTGTGTTCTATTGGCCTCTCTGGCTTCCTGACACTGAGATCCCTGAGCCTTTCCCTTACAATCTCTATTATTTTGCCTGCCCACGAGGAAGACCCTATTTGGTAGATTCCTCCATCCACTCCATGACAGAGATATTTTTTTTCTTTTTGAACCTTGACTAGTTAAGAAAAGTGGAGAAGTTCATTTGATTTTGACTTTTTTTGGCTTTTCTGTGAACTATCTAAAGCAGCCATGATATCTCTGGGTGTCTTTGTGTGTAGTTATGAGGTACTGTACCCTGTCAGAGTCTGTATACTAATTTGAAAAACTGCAAGTTGTTTTATATAATTAAGGTTATGGAGCTAATTAAGAGTTGAAGGAAATAGGGGAAAGAAATGCCATGACTCTGGTGTTTTTTAAAAAAAAACAACTTTTGATAAGAATTTTAATTACAATAGTAAAAAAATTAATACAAACTAAATTTAGAGAAAGAAAAGAGAATGGAAAGAAAAACTAAAAAATACAAGGAAAACAAAAAAGAAGAAAAAGAAATGAGAATATAACAAAAAAAAAGAAATATAAAAAAGTGATTTCAACTCAGTTAGTATAAATACATTTAATATTTTACACTCCCTATAAGATAAAAAAGATATCCCATCCTTATCTTTAAGAACCTTCATATAGCATCAGCTTTTCAATTCCAGTGTCAGCAAAAAATCCATAAAGCATTGCCAAAACGTTGCAACAAAATGTTTTATTTTAACATTAATCAAATAAACCAACTTTATATTCCTTCCTTTTACTTCTAACAGCTTTATTTCAATCAATAACAGATTTAATTCAATCAAACATTGTCATAGGATTTTATTTCTTTCGATTCTTTATCCCACTGAACAGATTTCTTGAAGGTTTTAACAAGCTTCCTTTGTAGTTCAGTAAGAAAACATTTTCCAGGTCATTCTCTTAGTTTATCATTTGAATTTCCATTTTTAACAACCTCAGCCAGTTTCTTTGGTATATAAATAGAATAGAACTGGAAGGGACTTTGGAGGTCTTCTAATCCAGCCCCCTGCTCAAGCAGGAGAACCTATACTATTTCAGACAATTGACTGTCTAGTCTCTTCTTAAAAACCTCCAGTGATGGAGCACCCACGATTTCTGAAGGCAAGCTGTTCCACTGGTTAACTGTCCTCACTGTTAGGAAGTTTCTCCTTAATTCCAGGTTGCTTCTCTCCTTGATCAGTTTCCAACCATTGTTTCTTGTCCTGCCCTCTGGTGTTTTGGAGAATAGTTTGTGGCAGCCCCTCAAATACTGCAATACTGCTATCATGTCATCCTTATCCAGTAAAGCATCCTTTTCTGAATCAGTCCCTTGGCCTGTTATTTGTAGTTTCATATTTTGTACTTTATCTATCTTACCAGATAAAAATTTTCAATATCTGTCATTCTTTAATCAACTTTTTTTAGATACAAGCTATAGAAGCAGACATCATTACTCACATCACAACGTTAATGTTGTAGTTAATATTGAAGTTGACTTCTGCCTCCATTCTTCAAAAATCTCTTTTAATATTTCCATTGTTACAATGTTTTGTATCATTATGCAAGTCCCAGTATTAACTGATATCAGGCTTTTTAATTTTTTTCTTCTGCTTAAAGTCTTTAGTCTCCCCCTAATGTCCAAATAGTATTAGTGCAAATAATACTATTTTTATAATTCCATATGTAAGGTATCTTGCTGTATGAACATTGTATTACACAAGTCATAAACATAGAAGTAGTGCAGTACTCCATTCTGAAAAAAAATACATTCTCCAAACAATCTTAAAAATGGCAGAAGAAATATTTACTCTGTCTTACTGGCATTTGATAGTCTCCAAATTGGCAGGTCCAGGTTGAATTTCCTTTAACTCTTATTTTGTTTGGATTTTGTAGGCATTAGGCTAGAAACCAGGAAATTGTGACTTCTAATTGCACTTTAGGCACTCTCTCTCTCAGCCTTAGGAAGCAAGCAAAGGCACGCCACTTCCGAAATCTTGCCAAGAAAATTGCATCAACTTGTCCAGGCAGTCACCAGGAATCAAAACTGACTCAAAGGCCTATCCGCACATTACTGTTTTGGTCATAATGGTAATCTGTACTGTGCAAAGCTCTATGAGGAAAAATACATTTTACAAAAAAAAAACGAAGTTGCCTTCTTTATTCTTGTTAGTCTTAAGGAATAAACAGAAATAACAATTATAAATAACAAATAAGAGTTACAAAAGGAAACCCAAGAAGTAAAAAGGTTTAGTAAAAATGGTAATTATTATTTTCTCTCTCTAAATATTTTTGAATGTATTATTGTAGTAGATTTAAAGATCTATGTTAACTCATCTGAAACAGAGAAAATTTCATCAAGGCAGCTATTATTTCCTTTCTCAAGCCAAGAATATCCAATTATGGTTTCCTTTATCTCTTACATAATGAAATTGAGAATATTATCATCAACTTTGTATTCAGATGTTTAGGCTGTCTCCTCTTACCACTCATTCAGATCTCCCCCTCCCTCCCTCCCCCTCCCCCCCTCTCTCCCCCTAAGACCTTTCCTCTTGCTTCTACCGTGATTGCTTCTGTAAAAGCTTTGAAGAAGATGTGCTCCATTTCATTTTCAATGAGGATGATGGCTTTTGAGAGGCTCAGAATATCCTTTGATTACTGGATAAAGCAGAAGGGGGGGAGCAATGAGAGAAAGGGTAATGGGGAGGGGGCAAGTGAAACATGTTCATCAAACCTGTTTTGTGTTCCCCCTTCCCTTTGCTGCTACTGAGCATGTGGCCTTTTGATTCATTGCTGCTTAAAAAGTATTCCACTTGAAAGTTCAGAATGCCAGGCCTCCTATGTTGTTTAGTTTCTTTTTAAATCCCCTGGGCATTTAAAAATGTATATAACAGCAAGGCAAGATTGAGACTTGGAGACATCAGAAGCTTTTGTTATTGTTGATATTGTCACCTGTGGTGGTGTGGCATGGAGACAGAGGTCACAAAAGGCATGAGATCATGCATACGAAGGAAAACTAGTATTAAGGAAAGAAAAGGGGATTGGAATTGGGCAAGGAAAAAGATGTAGAGGCAACTAGGAATCTATAGTCCTCTCTCTTGATTTTGCCTCCTCTGCTCAGTCTGCTTCATATGCAAATGTATTAATGCAAAGAATTACTCCTCTAGATATCAGTTGAAAGCTGTGTGAGATGTTTCATTCCACATACCCCACGATCAATTAGAAACAGCACTCTCTCTTCAACATTTCACTCTTGAACGTCAGGTCATCCTTGTTTCCTCCATTTATCTTGAAGCCAAGCATCAGTGAGCATTTCTACTGCAGTTACAATACAGCACTGGAGGCATTTTGTTTTCTACCTTATGCTATACTGTAATTCATTTGCTTTGAAACTGTCCTGGCCACTGAAGGAAAGTGTCTCATTAAAGTGATTCTAACCATATTGTTTGACAAACAAGACACTTCAGAAGTTTATTCTTAAATTTCTGTGCTTTAAATGAAACATGATATAGTGGAAGGAGCCATTGTGCCCCCCCCCATTGGCGTAATGTGGTGCAATCCAATTTAGTCTGGTAGAAATAACAACATTGTAAACAAGACATAACATAATCAATAGCACTTTCAGTACTCTCATTCCATGGAGGCAAGCCAAAGATACTTTACTACAAGAGTAGTAATACACAGCTGTAGCCTTGACTTTCTAATTACACTTTCATTCACTCCCTGAGAAAGGACATATGACTGGCTGTGATTTTTCATTCCACATTTTATCTTCCATCACCCGGTTGATCTTTTGATCTTTTGATCTTCTTCTTCTTCTCCCTCTCCCTTTCCCTCTCCCCCTCCTCCTCCCCTCCCCCTTCCCCTTCCCCCTTCCCCCTTCCCGCTCCCCCCTTTTCAATTGAGTCTGATCCTTAGAGATTGCCTGGACAAATCCCTGCAGTTTTCTTGGCAAGTATTTTCAGAAGTGGTTTGCCAGTGTCTCCTTCTTAGGGCTGAGAGAAAGTGACTGGCCCAAAATCACCAGCTTACTTTGTGCTAAGGTTCTAGAGACTAAAACTTGCAGTTTCCCAGTTTCTAGCCTGATGCTTTAAC